AAGAATGGCCAGACTTGGTCTCACCTATTTTGGTCATGTTGTAAGAAGGGACCATTCCCTGGAGAAGGAAGTCATGCTTGGTAGAGTGGAGGGTCAACGAAAGAGGGGGAGGCCTTCAATGAGATGGATTGACATGGTGGCTGTGATGATGGGCTCAAGAATAGCAGGGATTGTGGGGCTGGCGCGGGATCAGGCAGTGTTTCGTTCTGCTGTTCATGGGGTTGCTATGAGTCGGAAACGACTCGACGGCACTTAACAACAACAACAAGAAAAGGCGTTCTCTACCAGCTTTCCTTTCAGAATTCTAACTAGGTGGTATATTCAGTTACAATTCTTATGGGAAAAACAATCAACCCACCGACCCTAAACTGATTCTTCAAGTAGAAGGCAGTGGGGCAGTGGTCCCTTAAGGCTGATGTAATGGTAATGATCACCATTTGACTTTCGTCCCCCAACTTCAAGTCTGTTGCCCACAAAAGTGAATAAAAACCGATTTTAGTAATTGGAAACTTTTCTGTAAGAAAGAGCTAATCACAAAAGCTTCATAGTTTGGGTGACTAGGGCATGTATCCTTCATTGTGATTCATTTGCACTGACCTTCTCCAAAATGTTAAATAATACTTTTCCCTACACCCTGTCCTATGGAATCATCAGCAAGCTCTGGGTTCTTCTCCTTACAACTTATGCCCCAAACCTGATAGAGGCTTTCAACATACATGCATAGTGGGTGGGACACAGGTGCCATTAGTACTGCAGCAATCTAGAGGGGAAAATTCTAATGGTTTCTGTGACAGTTGGAGCTGTGTGTCAACTTGGCTGGACCACAATTCTGTGTGGTTTAAGCAATTGTGATGTGGGTTATTTCCATGATGGGATCAGATGTATATGTTTTAAGCAGCCAATCTGTTGAAAGGGAGTTTCCCTAGGGGTGTGGCCTGCTTCCAATTTCTTTATGGACATCCTGGGAAAAGAGACACTCTTCTGTGGATCGGGATCCTGTTGCGCTGCCTGCAACTGTCCATGAGTGAATAATCCACCAATTGGCCTGAAGATCTTGGATTCATCATTTGTTGGAGTCAACAGCCAGTATATTGCCCACCAACCTTGAGCTCTCAGCCCCTGCAGCTGTGTGAGTCAGGAAAAGCCTCCAGCTTGATGTCTGATCCAAGAATTTGGGACTTGCCAACTTCTTTAAGTGTGTGAACCATTTTCCTAAATAAATTTCTTTCTCTATATGTATATATAAGCTTTACTGGTTTTGCTTCTATAGAGAATGCAGCCTAACACATATGGTACCGAGAGAGTGGGGTGCTGCTCTGACAGATACCTAAAATGTGGAAACAGGAGTGAAGTGTGCCCTTGACCCAAGGCCTTGGCAGAGAGACCCCAGCATGTGGCATGAGAGACGGCAGAAACAGAGCCAAGAGACTGGAAG